GAATGTAATTGTTTATCTCTGAGAAGGGGCGTTCTTTTTTTCCATATCCTCGTCAGAAAACACAAGAGATGGCAAGTTTCTGCACAGTGTATATGATCTCAGTTGTCCTCATTTGACCTATTGTTCAGCCTAACAGGAGACAGATCAAGATCGAATGAGAGAGAGAAATGGATGTGGTTAACTTGCTTACGTAAGAACGGGGAGTTCTGTCATTTATGTAGCAGTCTGTCTGAATTTTACACTATTAGACTGGAATTTAACAAGAAAACTTTCCCAGTTGGGCCAAGTAAGCCATCTACTGATATCTGTCAGAATTAAATGCTGTATTTTCATCAGAGGTATGAGAAGATTAAGCCTGGTCTGTTTTGGGGTCAGAAATTCAACTCTTGTGAGAGGTATCGAAGTTCTGACTTTCACAGCGATAAGCATTGATATGGAGCCTGCCCATCTGCTCTTGCCATAGTTAATGCCAACCCATTCAAAGCTCAGGCAATGAGTAGCCCCTTTCCTTGCCAACCATGCAGCATCATGGCATGCCCCTTACCAAGCATATCCTCTTCATTTTCACACTCATCCTCCTACAGGGTCTGGTTGGTGCCCTGGGGCAGCTGGCCTGGTTCACAAATCTGTACCCACTTGCCTTTAGATTGGCTGGTCCTGAAGCTACAGGTAACCTACCCACTGCTTTGAAAATGAGAAGCTCAACTCATTAAAAACTCTTCACGAACTTTAAAACTCGCTTTAAACTAATTTTTAATTTTTTTAATTAGTTGACCTTGATAGCACATACCTTCTAATATGCGTTTATCAACTAAGGTAGCTGAATGGAAAACTTGAAAACAGAAAGGAAAATTCACACATGCTGGTCCTTTGAGCTATTGATCATTAGCCCCTCACAACAGGGAGAAAAGATTTTTATCACATTGTGCATTGAGTATTGTGTGCAATTCTGAAATCCACATTACAGGATGAATGTGATAGCACTGGAGAGGGTTCAGAGGAGATTTACCAACATGTTTCCTGAACTGTAGAGCTTTAATTATGAAGAGAAATTATATAGACTAGAGTTGTTTTCCTTGGAACAGAGGAGATTGAGGAGAGACGTGAATGAGATGTATGAAAATATGAGGGGTATAGGTAGGGTAGACAGGAAGAAACTTTTAGGCTTGGTGGAGGGATGAGTGACCAGGAGACATAGATTTAAGGTAATGGCCAGGAGGTTTAGAAGGCCTGTGAGGAAAAATGTGTTCACCCAGATACTAGTGGGAATCTGGAACTCACTCCCTGTAAGGGCAGTAGAGTCAGAAACCCTTATCACATGTAAGGAGTATTTAAATATGCACTTATGATGCCAAGGCATACAAGGCTTTGGACCAAGTGCTGAAAAATCAGATTAGAATAGTTAGTTGATTGTTTTTGACCAATACAGACTTGTTGGACAGAAGGATCTTTTTCAGTGTAGTAGACCTCTATCATTATCTCCTCAGTATAATTTGAATGCTATGTCAGACTCTGCAAGGGAAAGGAGATATATTATCTTAAACTACCCAACTCTGCTCTGACATACATTGGAACATTAATTAGAGTTCTAGCACTATATTTTGTAGGGAGTAAAGGAGGATAGGTGGATGATAATTGACACTGAAATATCTTTAAGGATATGGAAATATTTGAAATATTCAAAATCATTCCAATGTTTCCCCACTGCACTATATTGCAGGCAATGATGAGATCTAACCTTAAACGTCCAAGGGTCATTCCTCCACACATTCCTTTCCTTCCACCTCTGGTATCAGCCAAAAAGAAGGTCTATTTATCTGTTTTCTCTTTCTAAAAACTTTAGTGTTCATCATGACAAGAGTAGTGGTTAGGTAATTAAACCAAAATATCCAGAGTGTGAAAGGTTAAATTCCACTATATTTGACCATTTTAATTCAGTTTGAGGGAAATATAATGTGGTATCAGTAAAAGCAATGTTATCAGAATGATGTTAAAGATCCAGCGGTTCTGTCATGGCTACAGGCAAGGAATCCTGCTATCCTTACCGAGCCTAAATTATGGACTGGATTCCATACAATTGTAGCAGGTTCAGCTGGTGAACTACTGGGGAAGCATGTGGTTCTTCTGAAGGAGAGGCCCAGCCACAGTAAGTGCCAGGAAAGCTGCGCACAATCCCCGAGCTACCACAGCATTACAGGGGTGACTAAGGGATAACTGTCAAACATTTGTCCCAGTTCTGAGTCTTACTGACAACCCAGCACATGCAGGTGTGTTTCGCTATGGGCTGAACCTAGCCTCCAGTTTAATCGCAGGCAGGTTTTCATATTGCTAGGAGAAAGGCAGGCACCTTCTCCCATGATTCAGTGGGCCCAACAGTCATGGTTCCTTTGACAGATGCCAGAAATATCAGACACAGTTTGTGAATACAGCCAGTCCTGAACTAGCCTTGAAGTGGCTAAGCAAGCCAATCAGTTGCCTGGGATACCAAGAGCTGGATGAACGCCGCAAGCCAAGCAGCATCAGAGGAGCAGGAAGGCTGATGTTTCGGGCCTAGACCCTTTTCTCGTGGCAACTGGGGATGGGCCACAAATCTTGCCAGGATTGTCAACATCCTGAGAATGAAGTCAAACATTTTGTATTTAAAATTCATTCGTGGGATGTGGACATTGCTCAGCATTAGTTGCCCTTGAGAAGGTGGTGGTGTGCTGCCTTCTTGAACTACTGTACCCTATGGTAGGTGGAGCCACAATGTGTGTCATTCTGGTCGCCCTGCTATAGGAAGGATGCTATTAAGCTGGAGAGGGTTCAGAAAACGATTACCAGGACGTTGCTAGGAATGGAGGGTTTGAGTTATAAAAATAGGCTGGAGAGACTGGGATATTTGTCACTAGTGCATAGAAGGTTGAGGGGGGGATCTTATACAGGTTTACAAACTCATGAGGGGCATAGATATAGTGAGTAGCAAAGGTCTTTTCCCTAGAGTGGGGGAGTTCAAAATTATAAGCCATATTTTTAAGGTGAGAGGAGAAAGATTAATAAAGGGCATGAGGAGCAACACTTTTTTACGCAAAGAGTGGTTTGTGTGTAGAATGAGCTGCCAGAAGAAGTGGTGGTTGCAGGTACAGTTACAACATTTAAAAGATATTTGGGTAAGTACATGGGTAGGAAAGGGTTTGGAGGGATAGGGCCCAAGTGCAAGCAAGTGGGACTAGTTTGGTTTGGGAACGTGGTCAGCATGGACTGGTTGGGCTGAAGGGTCTGTTTCCATACTGTATGACTCTATGGCTGTCAGGGACAGAATTCCAGGATATTAACCCAGTGACACTGAAGGAAAGGCAATATATTCCAAAGTCAGGATGGTGAGTGGCTTGGAGGGGAACTTGTTGCTGGTGATGTTCCTATGTATCCGTTGACATTGCCTTTCTAGGCGTTAGAGTTTGTGAGTTTGGAAGGTGCTGCCTAAGGAGCCTTGGCATAATTTCTGCAGGGCATGTCGTAAATGTCGTACACTGTTGCAACTGAGCATTGGCAGTGGAGAGAATAGATGTTCGTGGATGCCATTTGACAATTGACATTTTCAAGCTGGCTTCTATGCTAACACCTAAACTAGTTGTGCTAAGGTCTTCTATTTGGCTTGCTTCTGTTTTTTTCAGAAAAAATGGCACTAAAACATTAGCAGAGAGATTTAACATGAGTGTATGCATTTGGTGAGAAAATACATCCCAGCGATGTAACAGGTATTGTGTATTCGTGCATGTATTCTGGCAATGGCTGGCTGACATATTCTAAAAAGCATAAAGACGCACTGGAAAGGGTGTAATACGGATTTAAATGATGACAAGAGAAATTCGTTGGTGCAGAAATCAGGAAAGAAAAGACAGACCAGGATATCTTCTGTTGGGAAAAGGCTAAAGGGTGATCTAACAGTCTTTAAACTGGTTGAAGTATTGTATAAAGCAATGTTTCTGGCAGGGTTAATGTTGAAGACTATATTGAGCTTCACCCAACCTATGATGCTTTGGGTGGTGGGAGATAGACCTGCTTTCTCCCAATAGTTTTCCTAACACTGTCAGTCATACTAGTGTAACTTATACTGGATTGCTACCAAGCGATAAAGCACAGCTTGTGTCAGTCAGAGGTCTCTTCTTGTCAGATCATTTCATGGTTTTCCTCTACCATTTTAGACCAACTAGGCCCTGTAGACCCAGTTAGAAAAGGAAGACAGTGACAACTATCTAGCCATCCACTTGTTGGCAGTGGTCGATATCACATGCTCATGTAACAGAAAGGTTATGATTGAGAAGATACAGAGAGCATGTTTTGGCTTGTGATAAAGAGGCCATCAATATAAAATACAGTCATCAAGAAATCAAAAAGAGAATTCAGAAAGAACTTCTTTACCCTAAAGTAATGCAAACTTGGAACTTGCTACCACTGGGAGTGTTTGAAGAAAAAAGTCTAGATTCATTTAAGATGATTCGAAGCATACATGGGAGAAGGGAATAGAAGGTTGTCATGACAGATTTACATGAGAAAAGATGAAATAACGCTTGAGTGATGCATAAATTCTACCATGGAAGGGTTGAGTGACTAGCCTGTTACTGTGCCATATCTTTTATATGATCCTGTATAATGTACATTTTGAGGGAACGAACTATAAAACCAGCCCTGCAAGTTGTAATTGTAGTTGTATTTTCAGCACAGTGCTCAAATGTTTTGTAATGATTGCAAATGATGACCATTCGAACACCTGCATGAGTTTAAAAGTTTCTTTTTAAAAGTTACATAGATCATTGAACTTACCAGTTTGGGCCAAGAGGCTGATTAAGACATCATCAGTAGATTGCTGTAGATGACCTGATTCAATCATACTCAATAAAGGATGTAGGCACAGTCATGTTTACATTGGACTAATTCTAATTCCATTAGGTGCCTAGCTATTAACTGTGTCAAACAACAAGTAACTGCATCACTCTGTGATCTTCCTGGTTTTTCCATAGTTGAGCCTGTTCTATGTCAAGACAACCTCTGTGGTAAGGGAACATGTGTACTGAGAGAAGGCAGCTTTGTTTGTGAATGCCCGCCTGGATTCGCAGGAGAACATTGTGACATTGGTACGTGAGTCAATTATTATGTTACGCAGCCACCTAGCAGTCTTTCCAATACAATGAAAGGTAACACTTCGATGATGGGGAGAGCAATATCTTTGAGTTTTGCCCAAATGCAGCAACGTGGTCTGTACCGAAATTGCAGCGAAGCACAAAGACCAACTGCATATTTACTTCAGCTTCAAGGTGGAGTGCTGATAATGTGTGCTTAACCACATCAACAAATGGGTAGGTCGCAATTAGGATCTAGTTCCGATCAATACACAACCTTGGACGCATTTGTGATTCCTATTCTCAGAGGACCAAGCTTTGAAGAAACACAGAATCACAGAATTATTACGGTGCTGAAGGAGGCTATTCATCCCATTGTGTCTGCACTGGCTCTCTGAGCATTTTGACTTACTACCAATCTCCTGTTTTCTCCTCATATTCTTCACTTTGTTTCTGTTTGAAACATCATCCAGTGCCCTCTTGAAAGACTCATTTGAACCTGCATCCACCTCGTTTCCAGACAGCACAATCCATACCCCAACTATTCACTCTGAGAAGAAGTTTTTTTATCACCTCACGTTTGCTGTATAGAGAAAGCTAGATGTTCAGTCATTGAAAGGAAGTAACATAGAGGTGATGCAACAGCAAACAGTGTTAAAATGGTAAACTCAGAATATAACTAAATCATGTCAGTATTACAGAGAGATAACAAGGTGTAGAGCTGGATGAACACAGCAGGCCAAGCAGCATCAGAGGAGCAGGAAGGCTGACGTTTCGGGCCTAGGCCCTTCTTCAGAAATGGGGGAGGGGACGTTTTGGGCCTAGACCCTTCTTCAGAAATGGGGTGGGGGGGGTGGTGGGGGTGAAGGAAGAAGGGTCTAGGCCTGAAACGTCAGCCTTCCTGCTCCTCTGATGCTGCTTGGCCTGCTGTGTTCATCCAGCTCTACACCTTGTTATCTCAGATTCTCCAGCATCTGCAGTTCCTACTATCTCTGAAACAGTATTACAGAGAGAATCTGTTCTGAATGTGTGAACTGCAAATTTAGGATTGACCCAAGATTTTCTTCTGTACACAGTAAGCAGAGTGGCAAGAGCCTAGAAATCTCTTTAGGAAATAGTTGAATTTTGTGTTCACCCTGGAGCTGGATAAGCCTCGAAACCTGATATTTATTTTACAAATAGATTGACATTCCGAAGTTCTGACCTCAATTTGTGTGAAACATTACTGTCAGTTCCTCTCTTAACCACAAGATGGTGGCACAGTAGCACCCATGATCATTCAATACCAAGGAACTCCAATTTATTGCATGATCTTTAACACTTGGCAGTTATTCCCAGATTCTGTAGTGTCTCCCAGTAGAGATGGGTTCTCCTTTGAAAATTTTGACGTATTCCTGTGGAATCTCGGGTGTCAAACACTACCACATGCCTCGGAATCCCACACAGCGGCTGACATAATCCTGACACAATCTTAGCAACATCCAAAAACACTGTAAGAAAGCCCTAAAAAAATACTGACCCACTCTTCCTGTGTTATTTTATAAATGAGAAACAGCCACCATTATCTCGGGGAAAACAGTGATGTCATTGAAGCACATGGGTTTCTTTCCAAAAATACAAAGATACAAGGTTTGTGGACTCATGAATCAATAAACACTGGAAGTGTAGATGGAATGGAGAATTCTTGAGGTGCTGTGTTTCCTTCATGAGCTGTTCATAGATGGCCACAAGTGAGCAGACCCTAATCATAATACCTAAACTTTTTGGTTTAGTTCTTGGCATCTTTTTGTGTTGCAAATGTAGAGTGAGGGTGTCAAGACAGGTAGAAATAAAGAGATTATTAGCAAATAAAAATGACAATAAAATAAATGTGCCAATCATTTTCTTTTGCATTTGTGTATTTCTGTTTAACTTCCCAAAGGGAAAATTTTGACTGATATGTCTGAGAATGCATCAGACTTGATTCTATTGGGTATTTTTTCCAGATAGATTTAAACTGACAGTATTTTCATCAATAAATATTTACCAATGTATCACCATGATGCCCTTGACGTTACATAAAGAGCGAGGGATGATTTAATTTGTAGTTTAAAGCTCCTAGTCATATCCTCAAACTGGATTCAAGAAGTGTTATTGCCTCCAGGATCCTGTAAAAAGCCTCCATTCAGATCACAAGGTTAATGCTGCAGCATTGGTGAGTAGTTTGGTGTTGCTCTTTATCCCCTGCCCAACTCCCTACCTTCTCATTGGCTGCAGAAGATGTCAAAGGGACCACTGGATAAAAACAACTTTGCTGACCATAAGCTAGGCTGCTCACTCTATCAGCAGCAGCAAGACGTAGCAAATTCTTGTTCTGCTTTACCAACCGTATTACAGTATTAGTGGTTATTGTACAGACTCATTGGGTCCGAGATATTGCTTTTGTATGAGTTGGTGAAGATGCAGGGCGTGAGTGCAGTAAAATACTGAGGATGGTGCATCTTGAATAAGTTGCAGCAAATCCGTTGCCTGAATTAATTGATCACCATCATTCTATATCCATGCTGAAAGCATTCAGTCACACCAGAAACCAGTGGCTCTCCTGTGGGACAGACCTGATGAACAAAAGGATCTTTTTTGTGTCTGTCATTGTTCAATAGCAATCAAGAGCTGCTCACATTTCTGTTTTAGTTGTGTCGTCATCACAGATTAATATCCACATTCTGCCATGGGTGTATTTATAGAGACCAGCCAGTTTGGAGTCAGTCCCCCTGATCTGAGGAGATTCTAAACTCCTGGTTATATTGGTCAGTCAAAGCTTTCCTGATTGGCTCAGATTAACAACCCTGATCAGTCAACCATGTCAACATGGTTCCAATCACAGCAGCTCTGCTTGTTCCTGTGACTTCTACAGGATGCCTTTTATCGAAGAATTAAATTTTGGATACCAATTGTGGAGCGGAGGAGGGGAGGAAAGTTACCTTACAAGTTACTCTAATTAATGGAATTACAACTAAACAGCACAGTTTCTTCCAGGAAGAATTGGAAGCTTCATTAAAACATTTCCAAATTATCCAGTAACTGATGAGCATGGGTCACTAGGAAACTGGATAGCTCGGCTGACAGAGCACCAACGAGGCAATCTGAGATTGTAAAGGTTCAATTCTTGGTTTGGATTTTATAAATAAGTTACATTTTTTCAAAGAGATCTATCATGAATAGGAGACTACCTGGACATTTCAGCTACAATAGGTTTGTGGGCCTCTTGACACAGTGCTATATCCCGAACTCTAGACGTCCAGGCCTGGGTTCAAATCCCACCTGAAGGTGTGTCATGACCTGCCTGAACAGGTTGATCAAAATAATTATAGCAGCACACAATGGGGCCAAAATGTTGGAAGAAATTAGGTTGGGAATGCAATAAAGTGGTTATCTCTCTGCTGGTTGAACAACAAATTAAAACCTGGTTTGAAAAATCTAACATCAGCAATTTTTATTCTATTGTATTTGCAAGTTGTTTGCAGCCACGAAATACCAGATGGAAGTCAATCAAATGGAGGATATTTTATCCTATTCCAGAATTCTTTCATTTTTTGTGGTATCACTGCTCACTGGTAGCCATTATATTGTACTGCAGATCTAATGTTTCAGTTGGATCATTTTGGTCATATCTGACCAAAGTTCAGGGATATTGATGGAATCTTGCAGCCTTAAAATTATTTTGCAGAACTGTTGCTGGAAACTGATATGCCAATTCACCCGTCAGTAGAAATATTTGTGGAATGATCAATGTTAAGGACCTTAATGTCAGCTGGCCTTTACCATGGGCATGGATACCAGGATCGTAAATAATTTTGGAATTTCTTTGAGTTATCCCACAGGTGCTAAAGAGCAACAAGATTGATTCATGAACTGTTACCTTCCAACAGTTTGGTGCTACTGCGAATGAATGGCAATTTCCTGTTTTGACACAATGGATTGAATGGCCTTCCTCTGCGCTTTAACCAGTCTATAATTCTATGTTTTAAACAGGGACGGGAAAAAAAAGGACTGTCTGTCATTTTCCATCTTGACGAGGCACGCACAGGCAATGTAACAATGTGATGTGTGCAAATCACCTGCTGTGTTTGCTCCTGTGTCTGCACATCAAAAGTACTTCATTGACTGTAACAGGCTTTGCGATATTCTGCGGTCTGAAAAGATACTGTTTAAATGCAAGCCTCTGTTCTTTTGACAAACCCTTTCTTTCATGAAGGTTAATGCAATCCAGCTTGGAAAAACGTGGTCAAATGCATTCATTCTCAAATCTGTGTTGGAAATTGGAGCTGTAACCCCTTCCTGGTTGTTTTCAGATAAATTGGGGTCACTTGCTTTGTAATGAGTTTTCTTGCATTTTGTTACGACTAATGTTTTGCACCTCGAGAGTTGGCTTACAGGATGAGACACAAAGGTTTTGACTGAGATGAAAATACAGGGTCAGACTGTGATTGTACCCAATAACATAGTATTCATTGATGCCACCAAAATAATGTAATATGGTGAATAGAACTCCCCTGTTACACAGCCAAAGATGTGTTGCAGATAGAACAATTTGACTCTTCACCTCGTTCAGATTGTGAAGAAGAATACACTGTGGTGATGATATTCATGAAGACGAAAATGTAATTGTTTTACTTGTTACAATCAATTGCCTAACCAGTTGCCTCAATTGCATTTTTCCAAAGCCTTTGTATCCAATCATGAAATTTAACTTACAGTGTGTTGGTGAAGTGAATTGGTGCTATGCTACAGGCTAAAGTGAGCTGCTGCATTTCACCCCTGTCACATCAGCCTTAAAGAGTGGGCAATGTAATTGCCATTCTGATTGCTAAATATGCTCTTGGCCTAATTTTCTTTATTTCTAAACTGTCTTGCAAAACAATAACAGTCTGCTTTAAGTAGAAACTAATGAAAGGGGAAAACTCGTATGCTTTTCTGCTGGCCTCCATCTTGAATCATGTGTTATGGTGCTACTGAAGAGATGCATACTGGATTCATTTAGACACAGCAAGATCTAGAAGTTATTTAGTTCCCAGGTTAGACATGGCAGTGGATCCATGTTCATTGTTCACCTGACTAATCCCAATTACTTTCACCATTTTGCCTCATCCTATTGCTTTTACCTTTTTGCCTTCATTCCCATCAGTCTGATTTGTACAGAGGTGGGGAATGGGTCACTTCTGCACATGTCAAATATCTCTGATACCTTCTCATAATGGATTTGGGCAGTTAACTACAGCATTTGATATCAGAGTTCTTTGAAAAAACCAAAATTTCCAAGTTCTCATTCTAAAGACCAGACCTTTCAAAAAGACAAGTTGAAAAAAATTCCGTTCATTATTTGCACTAATTATGAAAAAGCCATCTCTGACTAAAGAACTGAATTAACAGAAAAAGATGAGACCACAGGAAATGATAATTGCTTAAATAAAATTTAGCCAGGGCAGTATAATTCGATATAAGTTTTGTTCGCATTGTCACCACCTTGTGTGGTCAGAATGGGATTTTTGCCCAAAATTTAATCACCAGAAATTAAGCATAGTGTGAAATGCTGCTAAGTTCAGTAACTGGTCCCCAACAGTTTATCCAATTCATCATTGATATTAAAATTAAAAACCAAATGGTGTTCTTGTGCAGTGGTAATGTCCCTTCTCCTGGACTAAGAGGCCTGGCTTCAAGTCACAACTGCTCAAGTGGTGTGTACCAATGCCTCTGACGTCAGGTTGATTAGAAAATCTCTAAAATTCAAAACCATTAACAGATTAAGAACTAAATAAATTCAAAGGATATTTATGAGCCTTGTATTCCTGATTTTAAGGCTGTATCTTTAATCTCATGTCATACAAGATCTAGCAAAAAGCTATCCTTGGACTGATGGACTGAACATTTCCCTTCTCTCGTGGCCCATTATACTAGTTTGCTGTACATTGGCAATCCCATTCAGATAAACTGCTCATTGGTTCAGATGAGAATTGAAAAGCAGCAAACTGTTGTCGAGATATTCTTCTGCAATTAATGGAAAGGTACGTTTTTAAGGCCCTATCAAAGAAATTTGACTACATCTCCATCAAAGCTACAACCAATAAAGTAGCACTTAATATTGATGCTGCTGCCCAGTACAGAATTAAACAGCAAGATAGGAGACCATTTAGCCTACTGTACCCATGTCTAACCTGTACTGTGCTGGCTCTCTCAGAGCTGCCAATTTGGCCCAGTCCCCATGTCTTCCATTTCCCACATTTTTTTTATGTTGAACAGTTCAAAAACTGAAATATATTTTGAAATAGAGATGTAATGCATTCAGCTTACAATAGAACTAATTTGAACAAATTCCTCTAATTGATCTCCATCCAAGTTAATTTATTAATTATATGAGCAATTAGTTGTCAGATTAGCAGAAGGTAATCTCATCAGAAAACTAGGTCAAGCCAGCTGAGTAAAAATTAATTCAAGGTGGAAACTGGTCTCATTTGCTCATGTTTGGGCTCATGGGAAAGGCTTTCCATTTCTAACCATTTGGCATGGTGGTCATGAGTGAGTCTGTACCCACTGCCCACAACCATCTCCCAAGCAAAATAAAGCATGTAGTTATGGCAGGGAGACCAAGGATAAGATAACAAAGATTTTGAGGAATCTATGGAAGAAATGAATTACAACTGAAAGTGAAAGTCAGCCCGTTCAGAGAGTCCCTCTATCAGGTTAAAGGCATTAGCTTTCAATTGCTCAGCACATTTCCTGTAGGTAACTGCAGCTATGTAATCAAACACAGCAGCAAATGGATGCCTTCAGAATAAGCACAGAGAGGAACCCTCTTTCTCTTATTCTCCAGCCTGTCGTATCATTCCCTGCTTGAAATCCTAACGGCAGAACTTGATTTCTTGCAGACGTTGACGAGTGCCACTCGAGCCCTTGTCTGAATGGAGCTACCTGTTTCGATGGCATCGACTCTTTCAAATGCTTGTGCCTACCCAGCTATGGAGGGGACCTCTGTGAAGTTGGTACGAGAAAGTGGCTTCAGCTAATTTTACTAACAGCTTACAAAGAGTGGCCCAGTTTAGGGTGGGCACCTTGTTCTGGGTTTAACTTCCATTGTATTTCTTTTCCTAACTAATCTTTTCTTTTATTCTTAGGGATTCTGTTTTCTTTTTCTGCTAGTTTGTGCACAACAGTGGTAATATTTACTGCTTTTGCAGGATCAGTTGTTGTGTGGAAGCAATCCACTCTGTCGTCAAGACCCAGATCAGAGAGCAGTACAACCCAATAACTGAGCCAGCTCGCAGTGAAACTCTATTCTACCCAACAGTGAAGCTTCACTCCATTCATTGTCACTGGTAAAGCTCAAACTTGTAAAATGCAGGACTCCACACAGTAAAAATTACAGGCATGCACCCAGTAAAGACATAGGGATGCTGCTGTTCTTTGCTGATCTAGCTACAGCAAAAGCTTCTTTGGTCCTTTTTATACAACAAAGCCATAGCTGGTCTCATATATGTCCTAAAGCTCATTGGAACATGTAATGGACACCATTGAGTCATCTTTCAATAGTTCTAGCAACTCTGTGTAAGTCAAAAACGGCTGAGATTGCGTATAGGCTGCTGATGGCATGTGACATTTTGTCCACTGTTCCGATGGTCTTTATTCAGTTCCAAGAGATTGTTGTCTGACCATCACTTCCGTTTCTGAGCCAGATTTCTCCTCCTTTTCAAATAAATAAAAGTCTTAATTAGTAATTGTGATCATTGATTTATCCAGAGAGTCCTGCAATCAAACCAGTTTGAATGCAGGGAGCACGGGTCTAGGACAATAACCGTTTCATAGGTGTGATTCCATTTATTTGTTTGAAAGCAATGGATTCCTTCATTTCTTTCCTCATTCAACTTGTGAGGGCTGTCTCGGATCACGAAAGGTGGATCATGTGATCCCATGACAGCTACATTGAATGGTGGTTCACAGTTAGTAAATGAAAGTCATCTACACAGTGTCCAAACATTGGTTTATCAACTGTCCTCTAAGTTTGAAACTCTCAGTTTATGGTAAATGTAACATCTCATCTAGAATTCAATAAAACTTGAGGGAGTTGCAATGCTAGTTGAAAATGGGGTGAATTAAGGTTTTGCTGAGACTTGCTGGCTCCAGTGATGGACTATTTACTAGATCATCACAAAGACAAGCTGAGTTTCATCTACAAATAACAAGTAAGTGTGGCATTTGGCCTCTGTAACCTCTTGGTAAGAAGTGAAAAATCTCCCACCATTTCTGCTCTCATCACTAGGGCCCTATATTGAAGAATGTTTTAGATGAATGATGAGTGAGGACAGGATTGGGTTTAGCTGTATGACCTCTCGGTCAAATAGCCTATTAATGTTCACAAAAAGAAAAATAGCATGAATCAGTTACTATGGACATGGACAGGAAAGGAAAGAAAGATAGGACCTCAGAAATGAACCAACGAATTTCAGTGTAATAGATGTATCCAGCAGTATGTTTGTGGTCATCCTTGATATTCCAAAAATATTCTGTCTTCCTGCATAGGAAATATGTAGTAATTGTAAGATGAGATTTCTTCCTGACTATGCCCCTTTAATTCAATTCAGAATTTTTATATACATAGTATAGGATTAAATGTTTATTTGTTGTCAATTCCATAGCTGAGCCAATAGTGAATGCTGCAGTGGCTAGGAAGCTCTGAGATCTGGTTCAACACCTGAATAATACGAAGTAAAGGTTAAGGACATTTTGAAGGCAACAACCATAAAACCTGTAAGGAGTAATGCTGTCTTCAGACTTAAATTCTCCTTCCTCATCCAACACCACCTATTCAAATTGATACCACCTTCAACAAAAAAAAACGGTGTTGTGAACAAACTATTGCAGATCACCTCAAATCTTTACAAAATACTCAAAAGTCAAATGTTTAACAGTTTTCTCCTTTTCCTTCTCATATCCTTTACAGAGCTGTCTGGCAAAATTTTCACCATGATCTGATGGCTTTTCACCATTGTTAATGTCATTTTTGGATCAGCACTGCTGCATTCTCCTCCAGTACAGATCTAGATAAAGTTCCCTAGACCAAGAGGGCCATAAGGCTGCTCTCTCCTTAGAGGGACAACTGGTGGTTGTTTAACCTGCAAGTCACCTTGCCTCACGTGAGGCAAGAGTCTGGGGACAGTCCTTCATGGTAATCTCAGCCAGTGTAGGAACTGAACCCACACTATGTACGAGCTGTCCTGCCAACTGAGCCAACTGTCCCCTTACAGATCGAGCTAATACGTTCACCTTCCTAGGAGAGGATGTACTGAGACCCTGGACACTCATGCAGATAGGATCAAAGTTGTCAGGTTTGTTTCAGGAGATTTTGTACTGTCTCCCTCGCTTTTACCCGAACAAGCCAAAATGCTTTTTTGAATAATCCCAGCTGCGAGTTAATGTTGGATTGTAATTAGGTTGGAATGTTATCATTTTGCTTCTAAATAAGTTTAAAAAACAGTGATCCTGGATCTTGATAATAAGGAGTTTATCTTCCAATGTCCATGTTGCCAAAAATTCTACCCTGTTTATCAGCATTTACATTTTAATAACTTGGTCTCTGTTCAACTATTAAATTCTGAGTGACAGCAACTCCAATATACCTAGTCACCGTGATCAGATATATCATTGGGACTTCAAGATCATCCATTTCCCTCTGCCTGCCCTAATGCTATCGAGCTACTGTCATTTTTTCAGTTCAGGCCTATATACCATCACATGCGTGCACAATTACTGTCCATATGGTCTAAATGGTAATTACAACCAGAGAAAGCATTAGTGTAATAATTATTTTTAAATGTCGGCTTATAGCAACTCATACTGGAGGACTGGAGAAGCTAAGATCGAGGTGATTGCTTCATCCCAATTACGTTTGAACTGTGGCCATGTCAAGGTGAAAATTCTGCCTCTAACCTTAACAATATTTGCAGAATTGCCTGCAGATTGTAATTGTTAATTTGTAGTAAGTTAACTGAGTGCTTATATACCTTATGTATGTTTGATTTTCTCACAACTTTGAGATAGGTTTCATCACTGATACCTTCTATCAGTACTCTGCTGGTTATGTTCTGGTTTAACTAGATTTTTGTTTGACAAAAACATATATATTGTCTTCTGTAAAAAACGGCATTGTAGAGCACTGAACACATGTATTGCTTTTATGTTGCTATTTTTCCCGCTATGAGTCAGCATTACAATGGTGGGAAAGAAATCATTTTCTGCAGTTCAGGGAAGTGAATGAAAATTCACCAAACCTCAACTTAGTGGGACCTAAGTCATGGCTTTGATTGGGAAATAGGATTGCCCAGTCTAAGTCATGCAGTCGCAATGCAATTAAGTTAATGGATGCTACAGAAGTGAAAAATTGTAGAAAAGGACATTCATCACTGTTCACAGCAATTTGTACATTGTACACTGCTTATGGGGTTTGAGCTTTGGAGTTTTGGAGATCGTGCATGTCTTATTAAATGAATGACTATCTTTCATTTCTAAATATGAGGTATTGAGATGAATTTCTATACAGTGATTCTCCAGAGAGGTGCTGAGCTCCAGAAACAAAATATTACAATGCAATCTCTAATGGTTCAAATGTCTTTACTGTAGATGTGGAAAAGTGCGAAGTTGGTTGGGTGAAGTTCCAGGGTCACTGCTACAAGCACTTTGTTGACCGACAGACATGGGAAGCTGCAGAGCACCAGTGCAGGAAACACAAAGCTCGCCTAGCCAGCATTGTCACCCCAGAGGAACAAGAGTTTGTTAACAGTGAGTACTGGAGACATTAGCAACAGCCATTTGTTACATCATTTACCATTTAAGTTATTTCATCTTTGATGGCTGCACTCTTTAGTCAACTTTATCGATTGGCATTCATGGCCTGACTGTCACATCTGACCTCAAATTAAATGTTCACATCTTTTTTATTGTGAAACATTGTTCCAGAAAGCTCAAGTTTCTTTTTCATCTAGCTTACTTAATTACATCAACAGTCTAGGGGAGATGGTGGTATATTCATAATGTCACTGGACTAATAATCTAGATGCCCAGGCTAATGCTCTACAAACAAGGGTTCAGATCCAATCACAGTGGAACATACGTCCAATTAATACCATTGTGACTTGTAAGCTGGTCATGGTCATAGCTAAAAACCCACCTGGTTCACTAAAGTCCTTTATAGTGAAGGAAAGCTACCATCCATACCTGCTTTTACGTTACTCCAAACTCAGAAATGTAGTCAACCCTTGATTGCTCTTTGCAATGGCCTAGAAAATTATTTAATTCAAGGGCAACTAATTCTGGCCTTGCCAGGGATACCTGCATGCCACAAATGGTTAAAGAAAATACTCAATTCCCTCTATTGGACTATAAAAGTCATGAGAGGTTCTCCTGTTCTTATTCCTGGACGGGGTATGAATGAAAAATAAAAACTCACCTCCTTCAATTTCATTCCTGTCTCTACTATTGTCTTTTTGTCTCCTATTTTATCAACATTATGATGGTTAACTTTCCTGCTGGGAAGAATAACCTGCTTGAAATGAATGGGTGACTTGGATGTTTACCCTCATGGGTTTCCAATCAACCTGCTCCAGTTCATCTTTCAGACCCTTAAAATCTACCCTTTTCCAGTCTGGTATCTTAATCCTTGATTTTTATCCTTTTCTAACTCAGTATTGAACCTTATTGTATTAAGCTGGCTATTTCCCAAATGCTCCCCCACGTGACCTTCTCCAATTGGCCTGCCTTATTTCCTAGGATCAGAACTAGTACAGCTCCCTCCTCCCTGGTAGGACTGGAAATTTACTGTTCCAGAGAGTTCTGCAGACATATCAGGAATTTCTCCTCTTCCATGTCTACATTCTACCTTTTGCCTGGTCTATCCTATAGTTATTCAAGTCAACAACTATCATGACCCTATTTGTCCTGGATGTTTCCATAATCTGCCTACAAATGCACTCTTCTACTTCCTCCCCACTATTTGGAGGTCTATAACAAATACCTAACAAGGTCACTGCTCTCTTCCTGTTTCTCAGCTCCAAACATACAGATTTTAATTCAACAACTATAACTCATCCATGAACTGTGATATTACTTTGACCAAAACTTCTGCACCTCCTTTTTTACCCTCCCTGTTTCTACTGAAAAACTTAGAGCTGGGATGTTAAGTATCCAATCCTGTTCTGGCTTGAGACATGTTTCTGTCAATATTCTGTCAATATCCCCCAGAGCAGTTTCTGCTTCCAGTCCCCCAATTTTGTTCACTATTCACCCTTCATTTACATCCTTACAATTTAACCCTGCCCTCATCTCTTTCTTGGCCATTGGGAGACAACATTTCTTTGTTCACAGTCAACAGTCAAGCCTTCCCTCACTTCCTTTTCCTTGTTCCCCACCTTCTTGCTTTTGCTCTCTCTGATACTTCCAAAACTAGACCAATTAGTCAACCCACTCCCCTTCCCATACAAGTTGAAATCCACCCCCACCACACTATTTACTGTCTCAGCCAAGAGGTTAGTTCCATTTTGACTCAGGTGAAACCCATCTCTTCTGAACAGCTTTCTCATTTCTTAAAAGTGATCCCAATGTCCCAAATCCCTTCCACACATCTACCCCTCCACCCCCCGCCAAGCCAGATATCCACCTCTCTGATCTGCCTTTGCCTAAATGGTGAAGTTCGTGGCATAGGTAGCATTTCTGAGATTGCTACCTACTCTCTAACTCCTGAAACTAATCCTGCAAGTGCTCCAAGCTAACTGTTCCTATATTGTTGGTTCCCACATGAACCACAATCACTGGTGGTTCACCCTTCCTATGCAGAAGTTTATCCAACCATTCTATTATGTCCTGAACCCTTCCATCCAGGAGGCAATAGATTATGCAGGACTCAGGATCTTGGATACAAACTAGACTGTCTATCTCTCAAAATATTGAGTCACCCACTACTACCACCTTTCTAAACTGTCTCCCAGCCTCACTCTCTCTCTAATCCTAGTGTAGCCCCAGGCAGTATGGTACTACAGTTTTCCTTCAAGCTATCCACCCCGACTCAGTCGTTTTGATTACTAATTAGGCATCTAAAGTTTCATATCTGTCAGACAGCTCCAAGGAGTCCTGGGTTTCCTGGACCTGCTGTCTCTTCTCCTTTCAGCGAATGATCACCCATTCTGCTGGCATCTCTACACTCCTCTTTGGCTGCCAATCACGTTGTGGAGTGACCACCCTCTGCTGCAACTGGTCTAGAAACCCCTGTCCTCCTTGTACGGTGCTTAGTGAGGAGAGTCGCTACTCCAAGTCAGCCACATGTTGTTCAAGGACTGTTACCCTCTGGCACTTCATGTAGATGTGACTGTCCTGAATATCTGGTGGATTCCAAAACCTCCCACATTTTACATGCCACACACATCGCAAGCTTTCCTAGAGTCTCTGCCATCTTCACTGGTCACTGCTGAGGTTCTGCTGTTTCTAAGCCACAATCAAATTTTCAAACAGTCCCCCTCTCTCATCCTTTGTTTCAAGGTGTAGGGAAGTAGGGAAACACTACAGTAATGTAATGTAATTTAGAGCTCTTATATTTTCCAGGTATGGCTGTGTAAGAGTTAAAATCCTGCCTCTAAAATTGCCATGAACTATCACTGCGTGATCACTTCAGTTGGCAATGAAAATGAATTCACAATTACTCTCCTGTCAAACTCTGAAATTGATATTGTTGCTATCTTTGTGCAGATCACGCTCAGGATTATCAATGGATTGGACTCAATGACAAGGCAATAGAAGGTGATTTCCATTGGTCTGATGAGAGTCCCCTGGTGAGTTTTAGCCACAAATTTCCTGTCTATATCTCTTTCTGTTTACAGCGATTACTGGTCTTTTCGGAAACAAGCATAATGCATCTGAAATAAATCAGCACAGAAGGATACAAAGTCCTGTGCACGAAATAAGCGGGGAATAAATAAAAAGACTTTGCTTGGGATAAATAATCAGTTCATTTATGCACTAAGTGGTGAATTCCATGAAAGATCAGTTAGGAGTCTGTCCACAAGGAGATCAAACCATTTTTCCCATTCTCTACCATTCCTTTTGGCATCAGCATTGGAACCATGGTTTGCAGAGGAGATAGTCAACTGATATTCCCATTGTAATACAGAGCTTTGCAATCAAACATTGAGTGCGCACTTTAAAGTGCAGGAAATTGGAAGAGGAGAGTTTCTGTTCTAAATGCTGCATCCAGGTAACTGAATTAGGTGCAGTTAAGACATTTGTTACTTTGGCCTACCCCATAATTTAGTAAGATCACAGTTGACTGATTGTGACCTTAAACCAAATGTCTGCCTCAATCCAAGAAAATTTGACTCCCTTGTCAATCAAGAATCCATCTACCTCTGCCTCAAAAGCATTGTTTGACCCTGACCCTGCTGCTCTCTGAAGAGAACAAATCCTTACTTATGAAAAAGTAGTTGTATTATGCTGCAAGGATTGTTGCTGGGTCCACTGCTTTTTATCATTTATATAGATGATTTGGATGTAAATATAGGAGGAATAATTAGTAAGTTTTCAGATGATATCAAAGTTGATGGTTTAGTGGACAGTGAAGAAGGTTATCTCAGAGTACAATGCGAACTTGATCAGTTGGGCCAATGGGCTAAGGAGTAGTAGATGGAGATTAATTTAGATAAATGTGAGGTGTTGTAAGCAAATCCAGGGCAGCACATATACACTTAATGGTAAGGTCCTTGGGAGGTGCTTCCAAACAAAGAGACCTTGAGGTGCAGGTTCATAGTTCCTTGAAGGTGGAGTCACAGGTAAACAGTGTAGTGAAGGAGGCGTTTGGTACACTTGCCTTTATTGGTCAGTGCATTGAGTATAGGAGTTGGGAGGTCATGTTGTGGCTGTACAGGACATTGGTTCGGCCACTTTTGGAATACTGTGTGCAGTTCTGGTCTCATTGCTGTAGGAAAGATGTTGTGAAACTTGAAAGGGTGCAGAAAAGATTTACAAGGCTGTTGCTAGGGTTGGAGGGTTTGAGCTATAGGGAAAGTCTGAATAGGCTGGGGCTATTTTCCCAGTAGCAGTGGAGGCTGAGGGGTGACTTTATAGAGGTTTATAAATCATGAGGGCCATGGATAGGGTGATTAGCCAACGTCTTTTTTTCCCTACATTTCTATGGATTGTTGCTGTCACTGGATCATTGACTGCTGTCATGGTGTCTCATATCAGTAAATAACGTGTTTCCCGGGAAGATTCACAGAAGGTATTGCAGCTTCAAACCAGCCTGTCATTTCCCTGCCTATAGTTTATTTTCTTGAGATTAGCGCTTAGTGACCTTAGAGTTATTTAGAAATCGTACTCCCCCTTTTATTAAGGAGGCACACCAGGATGCATACAGTTGCTCCCCATAATTACCATCACTGGAGGAGACAGAGAGAGGTTTCTATAAGGCCATCTAGGCTGATAATCAAGCTAATCTTCCTGAAAGGAATTGACTACATAAGAAATGTTATTACAATGTTGATGCTGGAATAGCAGCCAGTATTTCCAGCATGTCGTCTTTTTAATTCAGACTTCCAACGTTAGTAGATTTTTAAAAATCTCTTGTACTGAGGGTCAGACAAGGTGGTGTGGGATCAATCATTTTCAAGATGGGACATACTTTGTCTTTCTCCTAGTTATACGAGAATTGGCGACCCAATCAACCAGACAGTTTCTTCAGCACTGGCGAAGATTGTGTTGTCATGATATGGCACGAAAACGGCCAATGGAATGATGTCCCATGTAATTACCACCTGCCTTACACTTGCAAGAAGGGGACAGGTAAGCTGGGATACTCCTGTGCAATGCCATCTCTATTCCAAGGCACTCTAGTAAAACAAATCTTTCTTGGTGCATCCCAATAATAGACATTAAGCTAAAAGTGTGTATAGCAAATGAACAGATTCTAATTGGTCTTTATATTTACGGGGAGCCAGTTGGTCATGTGGTTAAACTTGTTGTAGAATTAATCCACAAGAATTTGAAGCAGGAGATGGCCAATCAGCCCTTTGAGTTGTTGCAATATTTGTTAAGATCAGGGCTGATCTGATTGTGGCTTCAACTCCACTTATCTGCCCAAACCCATAACACTTGACTCCTTTGTTGATCAAAGACCTGTTGAATATGCTGAATAACAGTGTGCAAGCAGACCATTTGGCCCATCAAGTCCACACCAACCTTCTGAAGGGTATTTGACCCAGACCCAGTTCCCCACAACTCTGTATTTCCCATGTCTAATCTACTTAGCCTGTATAGTACAGACAATTTACCTAACCTTTAGACTGTGGGAGGAAACCACAGCATCCAGAGGAAACCCACACTGACACAGGGAGAATGTGCAAACTTCACACAGACAATCACCCAAAGGTGGAATCAAACCTGGGTCCCTGGAGTATTGAAGTAGTAGTGCTAACCACTTAACCACTGAGCCACTGTGCCACCCCAAAGATTTGCTGATAAAAGCATGCAACATCACAAAGACAAAGCCTTGAGTTGGAGGATGTAAGAACAGGAGTTAGATCACTGTCTGGTCTATATTAATTAAATTTATTAGGTGTAATTTAAAGACACTGTTAATATGGCAGTCTTATCAAAACATTTTTTATTTCTATGGCACATTATCCCACAAACGGAGCATGTCACATGTACTAAATTATTTTAAAACAAAACTAGATTAACACAATCATTTTGTACACAGCAAGATTCCAAAATCAGCAGTGACGGATTGATCACTTGATCACAATGTGTTGTTAATTGAGGGAGGAATGTTTGTCCGCACACCAGGACAGCTCCTTGCTCTTCTCTAAATGGAGTATGACATCTTTACCATTCAGTTGGTTCAGTGCATCTACTTGGTTCCTGAACTTATTACAGCCTTGGTCTAAACATGGACAAAAGATCTGAACACTAGGAGGTGAAGTGAGAGGGGCTGTCCTTGACATCAAGTCATTATTTGACCAAGTGTAGCATCATGGAGCCCATGCAAAAGTGGAATCAATGGGAATTAGTTGGAAAGCTCTCTGCTGGTTGGAGTCATACATTGCACAAAGAATGATGGTTGTTGGAGGCTAGTCGTCTCAGCTCAGGGTCATCTCTGCTGGAGTTCCTCAGGGTAGTGTCCTAGGCCAAACCATCTTCATTTGCTTCATCAATAACATTCCCACTATCGTAAAATCAGAAGTGGGGATATTTGCCCTTGATTACATTATGTCCTGACTCCCCAAACTTTGTCCATCATCTACAAGGCACAAGTCAGGCACATGATGAAATTCTCTCCAACATCAATACTTAATGCTATCTACAAGATGCACACTAGAAATTCACCAAACATCATCAGACAGCACTTCCAAACCCACAACCACTTCCATCCAGGACAAAGGCAGCAGATACGAGAATATCACCACCAGCAAGATCCCCTCTAAGCCACTCAACATCCTGACTTGGAAATATATCACCGTTCCCTCACATTCACTGGTTCAAAATTCTAGTATTCTCTCCCTAAGGACATTGTGAGTCTACCTACAGCACATGGACTGCAGCGGTTCTAGAAGGCAGCTCACCACCACCTTCTCAAGGGGAATCTAGGAATGCCAATAAATGCTGGGCCCAGTTAGCGACACCCACATCCCAAGAATGAATAAAGAAAAAAATTGCACCTCCTCAGAAACTGAAGCAGTCCATCTCTATACACTGGAAGAGCTGGACCTATTCAAGCATGGGCTGATAAGTGGCAAGTAACATTTGTATCATATAGGTGGTAGGCAGTGACATCCCCGACAAGAGAGAATCTAACCATCATCCTTTGACATTCAGTGGTGTTACCATCACTAAAACCTCCACTATCAACATCCTGGAGTTATCACTGACCTTAAACAGTTCTGAACAAACTATATAAACACTGCAGCTGCAACAGCAGGTCCGTGGTTAGGAATTAAATGTGAGTAACTCACGTCATCTCTCCACAAAGACTGTCCATCATTTACAGGGCACAAGTCAGAAGGGTGATGGAATTCTGTCCACTTGCCTGGATAGATGCAGCTCCACTCAACAACATTCAAGAAACTTAGCACCATCTGGGACGAAGCAGCCCTCTTAATTGCCTCCTCATCCACCACCTTCAATGTTAATTCCCTTCACTAAAGACACTCAGTAGTACCAGTGTGTGTACCATCTATAAGATACACTGCAGTAACTCACCAAGGCACCTCCAGCAACATCCTCTGTATGAGTGACCTCTACTAGCTAGATGGACAGGGAAACTAGTTGCATGGGAACATCACCATCTTCAAAATCCCCTCCAAGCCACACACCATCCTGACATGAAACTATATTGTGGTTCCATCACTGTCATTGGGTCAAATTCCTGGAGCTCCCTTCCTAACAGCCTTACACCCCATGGACTGCAATGGGTCAAGAAGGCAGTTCACCACCACCTTTTCTAGTGATACCTACAACTCGAATAAATAAAGGGCAATGTAGCATTCCCTCAGTAATGTACAAGAGTGCTCCCAGAAGTGGGAGTGACACACAAATTCCACTGATCTATGAACCACTTGTGCTCTAAACAAGAGTTTACTTTTGCTTCTTTCTTTCAGTTGCTTGTGGTCAGCCACCAATAGTAGAACATGCCAAAACCTTTGGGAAAAAGAGAGAACGTTTTGAAATTAACTCCTTGGTGCGTTATCAGTGTAAACACGGCTACTTACAGCGTCATTTTCCCAACATCAAATGTAAGCCAGATGGGCAGTGGGAACAGCCAAGAATAATGTGCATAGACAGTAAGTAGAAATTCACTCTGGTCTTTGCATTTCAATTGTGTTTTTTCATCTCTTCCCAAACACCCTACCTTCAAATTTTTTTTGTTGCTCCATCGCAAGAAACATGTCAAATTCAGCCTACTAGTAGGATGCAAAGATTGCAGAGTTGGTATTTGTGAATGATGAGGCAGAACGGACTGAAAGTCTGAAATAAGCACAGAGAATTGCTGGAGAGATGCAACAGGCCTGACTGTCTGCGGATAGAGAAACAGAGTTAACAACTCAAATCCGCTATGACTCTTCTTCAAGGTTCGAAATGTCAGCTCTGTTTCTCTCTCCACAGATGCTACCAGACCTGCTGAGATTTTCCAGCTTTTTATGTGTCTGTTTCAGATTTCCAGCATCCACAGTATTTTGATTTCACCAGACTGAAGAGTCTTCTTCATCTGACCTGATTCAATGATCCTGAGAACCACCTTAATCAACAAGGAGAGAAAGTGATGGCTGTATCCCACTTCTATTGATCATTAGGTGATAAAGAGGTATATATTTCAGTAGTTACTATAAAATCACTGAGGTTCACAAATCTGGCTTGTCCTTTGCAATAGTTTGGATATGTACTTGCAGTGTTGTAGGTCTTCCAAGCTATTTAATTGTTGGAATGAGGTGAATAATCATGGGAATATATCTGAGGAATCCTTCCATTCCAAAAATAAAGCAAGCAAGACTCTGCAGCAATTTAATCACAAGTACAATTCCATCAACCTTACTTCAGTGAAGTGGGAAGAGCAGCCAGATTCAGGCTGTGCCATTGGTTAAAGCCTCATGAGGGACGGAGAGAAAAAAATTCTATTATTCAAAAAGAATTAAAATTATAAAGCATCTGTTTATAACCAAGTAGTTCTCTTTTTGAAAGTTATTACTTTTTCCTGATGTTAAGGTGATAACTATAGCATCAGGGAGGCAATGGCCCAGTGGTATTATTGCTGGACTGTTGATCAATAGACCCAGATAATATCCTGGGGACCTGGGTTCAAATCCTGCCATGGCAGATGGTGGAATTTGAATTCAATAAATATCTGGAATTAAGAGTCTAACACCATAAATCCATTGTTGATTGTTGGGGGAAAAACCACCCCTCCGGTTCACTAATGCCATTTAGGGAAGGAAACTGCCATCCTTACCTGGTCTGGCCTACATGTGACTCCAGACCCACAGCAATGTGGTTCGCTCTTAACTGCCCTCTGGGCAAATAGAAATGAGCAATAAATGCTGTCTAGCCAGTGATACCCTCATCCTGTGAATGAATAAAAGATAAATCAAATACTTTTGTCAAATATTTCACTCGAATTTGGTCTTGTTAATTCTGTCACAGTATGTTAGAGGTTAAAAACAAAGATATATCACAAAAAACGCATTACAATTTAACTCAAAACCTCTCAATAACAGTTAGTCAGTTGATTTTGCTGAATTTCTGTAAGGAAGGAGACTTCTCAATCAATGCAAGAACAAACATGCCATCTGCTATGCAGCTTTTTCAATTAAACAGATGACCAAGTCTTGGTAATTGTGTTTAGCATTAAAGATCCATCATGTTAAAAATAAATGCAATATAATTTTAGCTCATAATTTGGACTTATCATTCCCTGCTAAATGAGAAGTTAACGAAGTGTAACATCTGCTGCAGAAATATTTGGCTATGAACTGTTTGTTTCACCCAAAATAATACTTTTCAAAAAATATTACTCTGCCAGTTTAAAGAAGTTGTGGAGGTGTGGAATGTAACCAGTTGCCTGAAACAACCTAAAAATAAATAGTTTGTTGGTCTTTATCTAGATATCAGTACAAATGGAAATAATTCCAGCAATGTTGATAACTAAGACTGTTGTCTGAAACAAAGTGCCAAAAATAGAGTCGGTTAGGTAAATAATCCAAAACACAATAGCCAAGTATTTCTGTTTTGGAAGGAAGCAACAATCTGGATACAAAGTACCCCCAGATAGCGAGAGTTTTGGGAAGTACTTCTTTCACACAAGGTTCTGCTCAAGCTAATTTGCAGATCACCAACATGCAATTAGCGCAAGTGGGCATCATTTCAAAAATGAATATCTAAAAATAAAGTTTTGAGCTTTAAAATATCCTGCTTTGCACATTTCAGACTGGTAACCTGATACAGCTTTGTTAATACAAGCTGAACATGGGTTTATCACAAAAAAACAGAAGAACTGCAGATACTGTAAATCAGAAACAGAAACAGAAATTGCTGGAAAAGCTCAGCAGGTCTGGCAGCATCTGTGGACAGAGATCAGAGTTAATGTTTCGGGTTAAGGATCCTTCCTCAGTTCTGCCAGACCTGCTGAGCTTTTCCAGCAATTTCTGTTTTTGTTTATGCAATTATCACAAAGTGTTTTTTAATCACAGCCTACTGGTAAGTAACCCAATTTTAAATAATTGAAAAGTATCCTAAAACTATATATTACCAGCTGCGCTGATATACACTAACAATTTTAAAGAACCAGGCCTTCTACACAGTGTTGTGCCCTCTTTATATGAGCAAGCATTGCTCAAGGACATCTCCTTTGCCAACGATAGCTTCATATAGTGCATGTTTGCAGATGGCTGCAGATTCAACCTGGCAGAGACAGGTTCTGCCACAAGTGCCACTACCTGGGTGCTAATTTTCAGTTGTTGTTTGAGCGCTGATTGAACAATGGCATCTGTTGCCAACTTACGAATTCCTACAGTTGAGTATCCAGAGATAGAAGACCAGTGAGGCACCCAAGGATTCCTGTAAGAGTGACATGAAGGCCCTAAACATTGAATTTCACATGTGGGGCAAATTAGCAACAGAAACAGAAATTAGTAACATTGCCCCAAGCCTGCATGAACCGCTGTGGCAATCAATTCCTCATTAAATTAGAAAGATATCCAGAAGTTTTAAAAATATACCTATTTATGACCTGGTAGCTAGGAGGGAAAGACAACATAATTTTTTGGAGGCCCAAAAATGGAAGCAATTAGCAGTATCTTCAATAGTGATTAATTCAATCTGGCAGAGTGACAAGTTTTATAGGACAACTTCCACCATGCTGTTTTAGAGGATCGCGGAAAATTCATTTGCTTCGGACGTGCTTGTGATTAAAATTCCTTGACTTTTTTTGGCATTGCTTTTAGGTGAATTGCACTCCTTGTGGAAATTCCTTGCATCTGCTGTGTAATTCCAAGCGCACAAAACGTATCCATATGTCAGTGCGGCATTTGTTTGAAGTGAATAAGCCCTTACAATACTGATTTTCTATTTTCTTCTACAGCTGCCACATATAACCGCAGGCCTCAGACAAGAGTTGACACAAGTAGGCCGCATCCTGAATCAAGTGCTTCATACAGCTCTAACCCTTAAGTGAAAGTAAAAGGATATAATTCTATTCCAGAACATTTATATTAAGAATAATTTTATCAGCTAAAAGAGTTGTTTTCCCAGCCAATATATAAAGCACCAAAGCAGCGCTAGATCCAATGTCCTTTTTTTTCCTCGATTTGAAGTCAAGCGTTATCACTTAGGATGAACTCTTCGGGCCATCACCGCGCCTTTGGGAGAAGACCCGAAGATTTTATTTTCAGACAACTGTACTTCGTAAGAAATATTAGATCAACTTAGACAGTATCAGAAAGTATGCAGCAGCATTAAAACAATTTTGGAATCTATAATGCAAAACAGAATTATTTACTAATACAATACATGCACAGATTCTTTTAAAACTGAGGGGAAAATAAAATAGTGTTTCCTTTCTGTGAACACAAAAGCAACAGAATAATAGTCCTGATGCTATATATTCAACTGGGACCATGCAGTGCATGGTTTATTGGATGTCTTTTACTTGTTGAGGTGCATAGTAGAAATTGGAGTGCTAAACCATTCATAAATGCAGCAGCCACCTCCAAAATGAGGGCTTCTGTTGCATGACAATCCTGAGTTGTATAACTGTTGAACTCGAAAACGAGTAAAAAAAATGGATTTGATATTTTTTCCAAAAAATAGAAGTGTGTGGGAGGGAAAAATTACTTTGACAAAATATCTCCTTGAAAATTGAAGATAAAATACGAACTGTTATGTTTTATCCTGAGTAAAAGAAAAATAGTGAGGTCTTTAAGACTATTTCAGATAATTAAATGTGTGTGTGTGTGTGTGTGTGTGTGTGTGTGTGTACACGCACACGCGCATGAGAGTGTGTGTTCAATTTAATGAAACTGTGAATGGTTGAGAGATAAACTGTGTGCACAGGTAGCAGACAAGTTACAAGAAAGGAAGCTTTGCTTTTGTTAAATTTTAGTTAAATATACAGTGAGGACTGGAAAATGTAAACATATTTTAAAATTTATGGAAACCAGTGATAGATGTGACATTCTTTTCCTACGTCATACAATGTAATTTACTTAAGAATTTTAAACTCGCAGAGAATTTCTTTTGTTTTAAAGGGAAATATCCTCTATTTGCAGCTGTGAAACTGTGGGTTTCCCTGTTTTGTTTTAAAAGTTTAATCTTTCCTCTAAGGTATAGAAGATTTATTGTTTTTGCTGTTTAGTGAGACATTTCCCTCTTATTTCTTTCATCCATTTTTGAATCCCAACCCAGATTAATGTGATAAATGTCTCAATGCCCTAGTTAGCTTCAAATGCCTGGAACAAAATATGTTTGGGAAGAAGCCCCAACCTAATTCATGTCATCATGAGCCCAGCAATGCTAGAACGTGCTGTAGTTTTCCAACCTGCAAGAGGTTATAAGATAGCTACTGTGAGAACCAGACTAATGCAATCAGAGACACAGCTCTGAGCTAAGGTGACCATGCTGGGGCAGTGTAGGAGTCACAGGCTGATTATATACCTGATGGTTGAGTGCTTGATACTGGCATGGAATACCTCAAATCAAAAAGATAGGATTGCAAATCACAACACTGGTGTTCATTTTTCTAATCATCACACAAGGATACAAAATAAGTGGACCTTAATATAAGTGTATGGCCTACAGTAAAAGCATAGCTTCCTTCACACAGTAAACTCAATACCAATCTGAAACAGTTTAACCGTAACTAACCTTTTGCTTACAAGATTTATGCTACATCTGCATTGTCAGTGCAAAGCACAGAGTTAAAGAGAGTGTTTCCCCAGCCCAAAGGGTCTCACTCCAGTGAAATTGGACTTCTACCCCAGATTTATGTTACAACTTCCTGACATTGTTGTAGATTGCAAGCCCTTTGTGCTGACAGCCAACTTGTAACGCAGTCTAACCAAGTCAGTGGTGAAAAATACATCTTGCTTCATATTATAGTAAGACCTCAAGATGACTTCTCCTTTGGAAGCCCCATAATGCTGTGAGCAGTTGCTGGGTCAACTTGGCACACAGCAGGAATTCTCTCCTCCCTGGTATAGAAAAGCTCAAATTAAAATTCGATACAAAATAAAGGGCAGTGAAGAGACTATAGACTAGTCACTGCCCATTTCTGATAAAGTTAATGCCTTCAGGAGGGAAGAGCAAGAAATAACATGGAGAAGACTGAAAAATAAAATAATACATTATTATAATCGCAGGGTGATGGGCAAATATTGCTCTGTAGTTTTGCTTTCCAGAATATTTTTAAGACTAACGCATCTGCATTGGCACTTCAGGTTTTAAAAAAAAAAAATTCTCCCATTCCTTTTCCATTCCTGATAATTGCCTACAGCTTTTAGTAGACTTTCTATCACTAATATGAGTAATACTGAGACTCTGCTTCAGTCTCAGTTCAGCTCCAACTTGTGAAGTCTCAGACATCACTTCAAACACTGGAGAAAAAAAACAATAAACCATCACAGAGATGTAGTCGAGTCTATTTTGCTGGATATTGAAACTGGCACCACATTCCTCAGGCCTCACTAGGAATACTAATGTGTAGTATATCTGACTCCTTGTTTAGGCTGTCACCAGGTACAGTAAAGATATAGCCTGGATTGCATTCAAAACAGAGAGACATTTCCTGTTGGCAATTATTTCATTTTTATAAGGTCCACTTAAAAGAGCATTCTATGTCAATCATCATTCTATGATATACATTTGCAAGTTTTTGAGTAGAAATCATTGAAGTTACCAAACATTATCCCTTGCTCAACTATTTCAAGGCCAATAATTTGGGTCAGGTAGATGTTTCAAGTTTGAATAAAATCCTAATCGAATACTGTGCTATGGGTTCCATCCATCTATTTAATACTTTAAATTTTGTGGTAAGGAGGGAGCTGCATTTGAACAATCAATAAAAGTTGCTTTCAGAATGAATTAGATCTTTTCTTAGACAAGTGATGTGAGAGAAATGGGTAAGTGCAGATTATTATAAATTGTTTCTGTAAACTCTAAGCAAGTAAGGATTGAGCGCTTCTAAGTCTTTGTAGTTGGAACATTGTATTTGCTGGTAAGAGGAACTGATTGTACACCTTGCATGAGAGGATTTGTACTAAACTCTGTATGTGTTTTGCCATTTTGTAATTTTTTTTTAAAGAAACGTAAGTCCAGAAGTGTAGGTGTTAATTCATGCACAGCTATGTATTAAGATGAGGAAACCAATCTATTTCTGCATAAATTAAATTGTATACAATAAACTGTATCCCATGTTACACCCATTCTTAACTAACCTGGTGACTTTACAAAGTTCTTAGAGCTTGGTTGGAGAGAGAGAGAGAGAATGCATATGTTTTGAGCGTTGTGTGTTTGTGTGTCTCAACACAATTCATTCAGATGTTGCTTAGTTGGCTGGACAGCTGGTTTGCGAGCAGAGAGACATCAATAGCACAGATTCAATTCCCACTCCAGCTGAGGTCACCACAAAGGTCCTGCCTTCTGAACCTCTGCCCTCGCCTGAGGCATGGTGACCCTCGGGTTAAAAGCCTTCCGTCGTCTCTCTCTCTCTCATGAGTCCTCTGGGACTATGGCGACTCCACTTGTACTATGTTGTTTGTTGCATTTCAAAGCAGTGAAAATTTGTTTCTATTGAGTCCCGTGTGTTTAAGTAAATGATTTTAACCAGTCAGAGATAAGAACACTGAGAACACAACCATATAGGATTTGTTAATTTAAAGCTTGTGAAACTGATGGCTCCCTTTTGAATTGTATAAACTATCTTGGACCTGAGTCATGGAACATATCGGTCAGTGCAAAAAGAATTAACTATGTCTGATGATAAATCTCATTGAATTATTTTGTGTTCTTTATAGCCTCATTGAATTTCATATTTTGCAAACATGAACATGCATTCGAAACAAATAAATCTTCACAATTTGTTGGTCATCAAGATATTTGGCTTTCAAAACAACCCAACATTTTTCTCAACCAGTGATTGAAGCACAATGACTAAAATCCATTCCAAAAACTGAATATTTAGCACCAGGAAGTTCATAAGAAATAACAGGACTGGGCCATTCAGTAAGATCAAGGCTGGTCTTGCCTAAAGTCCATCTTGTCATAATATTCCCATATTTGCCTGCCTTACCAATGCTTTGAAACTTGGGGCTTCAAGCAACACTGATATAAAACAATGAAGTGCGGATGCTGGGAATCTGAAACCAACACAGAAACTGCTGGAGAAACTCAGCAGGCCTGGCAGCATCTGTGTAGAGAAAAACAGAGTGAATGTTTCAGACCTGTCACATAGTCATACAGGGCTCAAAATGTTAACTCTTCTTTTCTCTCCACAAAGACTCTCAGATCTGCTGCGTTTCTCCAGCAATTTCCATTTTTGCTCCAGCAGCATTCCTCTCCATCTGACAGTGCAGGCTTTTGATCGGCCTATGACAGGGCAGGATTTCAGCCACGAGGCTGTTTATTGGATGAGAAGCTCACTGTACAGCATTTAAGAAGCTAATTGGTGCTTGATCCAACAAGCTTTCTCAGTGGTGAAGGCAGGGAGTCATTCGCCCTGAACTCGCCTACCCTAACATAAATCCAGTCATAGGCCTATATCATTTGGATATCCAAACTTGCACAAGACATTGCTTTGCGAGCCAAGTAATTGGAGCTGAAATTTCAACTGTCCCAACACAAAATCTCTGATATTTCAATGTTGATTTTTATCACCTTTGCTGCCTGTGAACACAGTGCTATCAGGAGACTGCAGAACAAAAATATCACATTAGTTATATTCTGAGGTGCATCAAGAATAACTGTGTTAACATGTTGTCTGAGTTTCTTGAAATAGTAGAATTGTTGCTGATCTTTAGCACTGCAATCCTTAGCATTGCTAATGGACACAACTACATTGCAATGATGGTTTAAACATGATGAAAAGTCACTTGTTTAAAATGAAAGGAAATAGATCTTTTATCTTTGAATTTGAAAACTGACAGGGCCTCAAGTTTAATTTCTCATCAAAAAGATGGTTCAAAAACAGTGGGTGAAATCTTTATAGGGTCTGAACAATAAAGGCAGGACATATTTCTTGCTGGGTAATGGTGAGTTGGCAATTAAGGCAGACTATAATTTGTTAAAAGCTTTATTAATGTCACCATTGGCCTCATTAGTATTTAGCATCCTATCTTACCAAACATACCCAATGAGCTAGACGTAAAGAATACTCTCAAAATGGAAGTCAGAGCAAGTACCTGGTAATTTCAGTTCACTACTTGCTCCGAAAGACCTCCATTTTCGACACCTAACACCAAAATCTCAAGGCACACTCCATAATACACTGGCCATGGATATTGGCATCCAACCTGTGTCATTCTCTATGAACCCTCATGGCACACCTCCAATCCACTTAAAGGACACATCTGTATTTCAATACTGCACTTTGGGTAGCAACTCTCATTGTAATGTTGCGGCAATGGCACTGCATGCTCAGGGACATGCACCGAGCTCATGGACTGGACCAGGCTGAATCTTTAGGCTCTTTACTCACTCTGAGCCTACCTGGATGCTCACAGCATGCCTACCTTGTACTGCATCGCCTTGCCTTGTGCTTCTCTGTATCTCTAGCCCTTGGCCAGAGATAGCAGGCTAATATTATTTCTATTCTACCTTGCCATTTAACACAAATGCAAAGCCAGGGAGCATATGAAGGTTGTTCGCAAACCTCACTCAAGTCAAAGGAGATAGCTTAATGCTAGATGTGTCCAAATAATAGCCCACAACTTCCCATTTAAAATAAAAATGACCTGTGTGTGTTTTATTCACTGTCTAACTAGTTTGTCTTGTTTGAATTTTAATCAGTCAAGGTCTTTGGAGAAACCAGTTATTAATGCTTTACTTTCAAATTAGTAGATCATTAGTATACCAGAGTTCCATTGTGTGCAACTAAACAACACAGCAAAAAAAAACCATAATGGACACCCCTGATTTGTGATTCTTCCTTTAATCTATTTGAATTAGTCACCAGAGGAGAACAGTTAAACACAATACAAAGAGTGTTGAGTTGTGTTCCCGAAGACATCATTTGGGAGATATAATTAGAAAGTAGGCAGATTGGGCTGATTTATGAGAAATTAGATCTATAAGAGATTACCTTAACCTGTTCCTGAAAATACTTCTTATCTAATACGTGCTGTAAAATATGTTCTTCCCTAAAGTCAGCCTACAAAAGTTATTGTGCAAACATAGTGAATGTGAGAAAGCTGTTTTCACACAGTGAATTATTAAGATCTGGAATGCATTGCCTGGAAATGTGGTGGAGGCAGTTTAATTGAGGCATTCAAGAAGGGACTGGATGTTATTTGGATGGTAATGGTGTGCAGGGATATGGAGAAAAGGCACGAGATTGGCACTAAGGGATAGAACTGATACAGGCTGAATGGCCTCCTGTACTGTAACAATTCTGAGATTATTCCAGTAAAACCTTGGTAATTAATGATGCCTTACAAATCATTCCCGATGTCACTGGGTTCATAGAGATAGCAGACAAAGGTCTTGTCATGGGGAAATGAAGAATGTTACATTCACTATAAGCATAGCAAGGTCACTTGAGATAATATTTATATCAATTGATCAAATGATGTGTTAATGATATCCGAAAACACATTCACCTCTTTGATGGCAAATTATCTTTTGTTCACACCGGAATAAGATAAGATAAAGGATCCAGTTCCAAGTTTGCCACATTGCCACTACCAGCTGTCGACTTGGCATCCTACATGTTATATTGCTAATCCATTCAGGACGTTGGTATCTTTCCAATGTAGTGGTACTCCCTCAACTGAAGGCACTTTTTAACTTTAGTCACTTCAACAGTTCTGGGAGAGCAATGCCACTTCATCCATGTCCCGGTTTTACATTCAGATTTGGAGTTCCAAACTCCATCAGCAGGTTGGGCTTTATGGAAATAAGAACTTGGAACTGGCTCATTATGTTCATATTACCAAAACTGGGTTCACTTATTCTAACAGCATCAACAGTTTATCCCTGCATTGTTGTTGGAATAAGAGAACTGGGTATCATAAAAGCAAGAAAATCCAGTTTCTCACAGTCATATAGTGTAAGGAAAATTTGGATGATAACTCTTTTAAAGCTATCAGTAAATAATCCATGATCGCAGTAATCTCTGTTCTCCATTACTGTTATGAACTTCAGAGGCCAGGTAAATTCCTACAAATAGCATGTGTTAGCATGCACAGTTACTGAGTAAGGTTGGATATTAGCACTCCAGTTTTTATTATAGACCTCACCTTTGCTGTATCATATTTAAAAAAACCATTTTCCCCTCTTGGTTATTATAAATACAGCATTGTTTGAATCATCCAATTCAAATCTTTCATAGGATGCAGGTAATCCTTCTATGTTTCTGAACAATGGTAAAAAAATTTGAGATAACACTCCAGGATCATATTTTATGTGTTTAGCTTTTTCTCTGTATTTCAATGCCACCCTGCATTTGAGAGAGCATTTAGCCTTCTGTATGGCCTCTACAAGTACTTGCATTTAACCAAATAGCGCAATAATCCATTGACAACTCTCACCTTGAGAGAGAGGCTTACGTGATTTTCCTACATTTTTTTCCGAGTGATATTAAATCAAACTTTCATGCCAGATAAATATCATTGTCCCACTGCCTTTGTCAGTTTGACCTTGCCATTCAATATTATGGGAATGGCTAATTTATTATCAAGGTAGTAATATGTACTCTGTATGTGGGCAAATAGTCATCAGGGCAGTTACTGTGTGCATGTCATTGACATTCCTATACTCCAGGTTTTTAAATGTAGCTCGCAAGATTATTCTACCAAACTAGCTTAAAATAAAACTTCTCATGAATTCAGAGCAATTTAACTAAGCCTTTCACTCTCCCAGAGAATCATGTCTCTGGCTGGAAATCAGAAGATAGAGGCGAAAATAATTCCAAAGAAATTTGAATAACACTAAGTTTAAAATGTTGCGTTATCCAACAATGCATCAGTCTTGGAAAGTAAAATGACTGCTCACTTAACTCCAATTTGCCTGTGATTTGCTTGAATAAACTTTAGATGCCAAGGGGGCCCATACTTGGTCTGTTTTAAAGACTTAGCCAGGATGACAGTGCATCGGTATAACTAATGTGTTTCCCAGCAACTGAGGGAATCATTTCATTGTCTTGAAGGAGTGAGTCCACTGTGAAAAAATAGGATTCTGAAATAAAATCACAGTGCTGGAAACACTAAGCAGGTCAGGCAGGTCTGTGGAGAGAAAAGC